TTCAAAGTTAACAGTAATCCTTTCTCTTGTACTTAGTCTCTCCAGTATAAACGATTGGTTGACTGATTTAAGTGGCTTAAACCTGCATTCTTTCTGACGACCAGGAGGGGGAGGGGCTGCTGGGACTGTGGTGGCAAAAAAAAAAAAAAGGACATCAGGTTATACAGAAACTTATAGAAAAAGGGAACTTCTGTTTAAGAACTTTAGTTTTTTGTGTTATTAAAAAGGTAATTCTGTCATTTCCATTTGTAATTAGAGTCAGAAAGGATATGCTCATTAGCTAATGGCTAATGATTTGTCAATCACAAGTAGAGCAGATTGAGTAGAGAGAAAGTGGCAGCTTAAGACAGACTGATTCAGCTCCACAGATACCAAAAAACATGCAATAAAGTCTTTATAACATTATTTAACAGCAGAATTCCCCATATATAAACAAAGTCAATTCTTGTCTTTTATCATGTGCAGCCACTTCTTGTGCATTAATTACCTGTATGAAGGTGTGTATGTGTTTGTTTCTGAGTATTTTGATGTTTTTGTTTAGCTTTTTTAAACAAACAGATATTTTTGAATTCATCTGCACGCTGCTTTTAAATGCCTTACTTAAAAGCTGCACTGTTTGATGACAGTACTGTAAAACATTCACCATGGCTCACTGCACTTGCATATGTCATTTTCTCCTTTGCACAGTACAGGTAAGGGAAGTGGGTAACATGTGAAGTAATTGTTCTGATTTCCTCTTCCTGTTTTTCATAGCAGCAGTACCCATCATCCTGTTCATCTCCGATCCTGACACAGTAGGTGTTTCGAGTAACGCCACAGATCTGGCAGGAGATTTAAATCTTTGTGCAATGATTTGTAAGGTTTCAGCCTCATAAGATTGGAAACGAATCACCATCCGATTGACAGATCTGATGGTTTCTACGTGAAAGATGATACGGTGCATTGTAGCATGCCACGTTTGTACTGTGGTTAGTACTGCCTCAAGTGAAAGCAACAAACCACAACACCGCAGAGAGACAGGTGTGCAGAAAGCTAGTGCAGATCTTGAGTTAAAAAAGCACCTCTGTAGGGTTTCACCTCATGTCCAGCATTAGCCCTGAATGTCACAGTAACAGCAGCAAATGTCAATGAAAGCAAAACTATCTTTCAGTATGAACACAAAACATTCAGAGAATTCATCTGTTTCATTCAGCTCTAAGCAAATGCTGATTATTATCAGGTCAAATACGTGTTAGCTCTTAGATTAGTATCTGCCGACTCCAACGTGTAGCTTTGAACTTCAGCCATTCCTTAGGCGCAGAATCACTCAAGTTCCTCTGAACTAACATTTGAAATTTTCACAGTGCTTTACGCATCAACACCTACGACTTCTCAGTTAGATACAAGGAACAAAGGGCTGTGCAAAGAAATGTCAATGTTGGCTAGTAGTGTTAACAAATAATTCAACGTGATCAAAACCACCAAACCTGTGCTTTCTTTTTATTCTATAGATCATGTGTAGTGTTGCATGGTAGAGTGAAGATTTTGAAGAGGTTATAATCTCTTTAAAAAATAATAGAGAGTTGTAGTAAGTGGGTAGGGGTGTGTGTGAGTGTGTGTGAGAGAGTTAGGGAGAGAGAAACAAAGAACACCAACTGGCACGCACCATCGTAGCTTGACTTCCATCTATATTTCATATTATATCACTGCGCCATTAAGTGAAGTTAGCTTTTGTGACATGTGGTTTCACTTCACATGTGGTGGTTACCACGTGATGTGGTATCAGGAAAAAAAATTCAGAGACCTGTCAGTGAGAATGAAGGGAAAGCACCATCAAATAGACAGATCTGCGCGTGCAGCGGCTTTACCTGCAGTGAACTACCGTCAGCCAACATGACTCCTCTCAGAGGTGAGTAGAGCTTAGAAACATAGTTAAAGGACGTTTGTGTGCGCTGTGATGAATGAATGAAGAAATGCAGACAAAAAAAAATAAAATACCAAAAAGATTGTGTTTCTTAAATCTCAAGTTTTATATTTTAAAACTAATGATAGCTGCTGTTTTTACCAGAGAGCTGTGGCAGTGTCATCTACTATTGAACACTTAACATAGCTGCTTTTTTAAATACTGAAAGCTAAAGACTTTGATTCACCAACTTTACAACTACCTGTTAACTGCTTACTGTTGGTAAAATAAAATAATAATAATTGCCTTACATGGTTTGTTCTAGTATATGTCTGTCGCAAGGTTAGATAAATCACAAGGTTGCATTTGGTGTAATAATCTGGGCAAAGCGACAGCCCCTTGGGAAATAAAGGAGCAGCTCAAAGTATCATTTTTGAAGAACTAAAAATACACTAGTAGCATTTAAAACAACTTACATCAACAATTAGGAAATACAAGCAGATTTTACTGCAGTTGGTAACACTAAATATTATTGACATATGAGTAATGTCACAGTCTATTAAAAGTCTCATTTATCTTAACAGTTCCACTAATCAGATTTGTGAGTACCACAAAAAACTTTCATAAGAAAAAAAAAGAAAGAACAGAGTTTTCCCCGATGGCCATGTGATCAAAAGCCCCGAAAACAGATTAGAAAAGATAAAAGATGTAGGCCAGAAGGGGAAAACTTGATTGTTTGGCAGTAATAAAGAGTCATTGCAGTCAAACAGTGAAAACAGTTATTGTCAAGTTTTTTTACAAGCATAAAATTCCACACATGTAGACAATGTAACAATAATAGAAGAAAAACAAAGAACCAGCTGTTCTCTTATTCACAGTTGGTCACCACAGCAGAATGTGACAAAGGATTTGTGTTTCTTCCCGAGCTTTCAAACGTTAACCAGTACCATACTAATAATACTTGACAATAAAGCCAAATATCAAATTTCACTCTGGGTTAAAAGCTGACAAATAAACACGAGTTTCATGCGTGTTATAAAGGAAATCACCCTAATACCACCAATTAATTAACTTATTTTGGGGTTTGATAGCTTGATCAGTTCAAAAGATGTGATCTGTACCACGCACGCATCTGCTGGATTTGTGTAACTCCAATGCAAACTGTTAGTCATGTGCAGAAATACACACACATGCACATAGTGAAATTGTTAACGAACACATTTCCTTACAGAAGGACAAAAATAATACAATCCAGAATAACTAGACCATTTTTGGGGTGTCCAGGCCCAATACAATATTAAAAACTAATAACACCCTTCTTTGAATTTTGAAGTAGAAATTTAAAGGTCATTCAGCCCTTTATGGCTTGAAGACCAGTTGATTTGGAAGTTGGGTATCATCTGCATAGAAATACATGTATGTGGGTTTTCTATTAAACCTCCCTCGCACAGAAGCTGAGGAAGTCCAAAACTAACTTTTGAGCATCTTGAAAAGTCATTGTTTATATAAACACTAAGCATGTCTCCACAGATCCTATTTCTAAAATAAATAAATAAATAATCTACATTTGTTTTTCAGCTCTCCAGAACTTTCTGCCGACTGTGCTGGTATGGTTAATGACCTCCAAGGTAAGAGAAACACCTCACTGAAGCTCTTCTTCCAGCTGTAAATATGTTTGGGATAAATAGTATTAAAGAACCGCAGTCTTCCCCTGTGGTACCAAGTGCTCCCCCTCCCCCCAGGAAGTGGTTGGTGTTGGTGTAAAAGTACAATGTACCAAAAGGCAGGTGGCAGGTGTAGTTTTGTCTGATCTGCTTGGTTATTTTACTTCTTTCATGTGTTTTTTTGCTCTGTTTTTGCAGCCTTGCTTGTCCGACGATGGAAATTACACAACCACTACATTCACAGACTACAGCTTTTCCAGCTTCGATTACAGTGACATTCCTGAACTCTGTAAGAAGGAGTCCAATCGCCAGTTCCGCTTCGTGTTTACGCCCATCCTTTTCTCCATCACCTGCTTCCTGGGGCTGGCAGGAAACATGCTCGTCATCCTCACTTATCTCTACTTCAAGCGACTCAAGACCATGACCGATGTGTACCTGCTCAACTTGTCCTTCGCAGACCTGCTCTTCGCCCTGTCCCTCCCCTTTTGGGCAGCCAACTCCATGGCAGAATGGGTGCTGGGTATAGGGCTGTGTAAAGCCATGCACACCATTTATAAGGTTAGCTTCTACAGCAGCATGTTGCTTCTGTCCCTCATCAGTGTCGACCGCTACTTTGCCATCTCCAAAGCGATCTCTGCTCACCGCCACCGCTCCCAGGCAGTGATTATCAGCAAGTTGTCATCAGCTTTGGTCTGGGTGTTGGCCCTGATCTTCTCCGTGCCAGAAATGGCATACACCACCATCAATAACAAAACCTGCACCCCTTTCTCCAGCAACTATGACCCACTTCGCATCACCATCCAGGCAACTCAGATCGCTTTGGGTTTTGTCCTTCCTTTCTTGTTTATGATCTTCTGCTACAGCAGCATCCTCAGGACCCTTTACTATGCTCGTAGCTTTGAACGGAATAAGGCCATCAAGGTGATTCTCGCTGTGGTCGCCGTCTTCTTGGTCTTCCAGACGCCTTATAACGTGGTCCTGTTTTGGAACACAGTTGTTACAGCACGCGGAGTACAGATCGACTGCAAATACGAAAACAACCTCCTCTACGCCACCGACACGACCCAGAGTTTGGCCTTCCTGAGGTGCTGCCTGAACCCCTTTGTTTACGCCTTTGTCGGTACAAAGTTTCGTTACGACCTCCTGAAACTACTGAAAGAGTTTGGCTGCATGAGCCAGGAGAGGTTCTTTAGGTATACCTGCGGGAGGAGGCGGAGCTCAGTGCCCACTGAAACTGAGACCACCACCACATTTTCTCCTTAAAACGGCGTCCGTGTGGAGGAGTCAGCACCTTCAGCTTAGTGTTACACACCTGCTTACAAAGAGCTATGGACCAATATCAAAGCATATGTTTTTATATGTAGATAGCTTAACTGGGACTTTTGTGGAGGACTGCACAAATAAGCTGAACGAAATTTGGCTCAATCTTAATTTTATGTCGCTGCTTGAAAAAAAATCTGAATGACTCAAATGGATTTCCAGATGTTTTTCTGCTCTCCTTGTTTTTGTATATTTGTTCTAAGGTAGAATATTTCAAGATATTTGTGATCTTAAAGAAAAATGTCAACAGTATTAAACACCTTACCACACAGTGTTGCAAACAACAGAAAAGTGCATTTTTAGTTAAAAATACGTTAGATATACACAGCAGAAGTTTGATCTACATAGATTTTCTTTCTTTTTATCACCCGAGTTTATTTCTGTCTGTATCTGTTAAACAACTTTCATGATCATTTTTGCATTTGCTACAATGTATATTATTTCAAAAAGTCTGTTTGTGCTTGTTATTCAAAGCAGGGTATATCAAATCAAACTAAAGTCAGCTGTGTACCTTTTATTTGTACTTTTCTCTGCCATTTGTAAATAGCCCAGATTATCAAAACAAGATTAAATATATTAAAACAAGATTTCAGGTGCACTTATTACGTCAAAAATAGCGATGGCATATTCAGAGAAATTACAATTAAAAATGTGCACTTTGTCATACTTCATATGCTAGCTGCACAGGATCTGTTGTTCTTTTTTGTCCTGTATATAGCGTTCCAACACTGGAAGCTCACATTAATCCCTGCGAGCTAAAAGCTCAGGCTTCAGATGTCACTCACCTGCTCTCCAATATCAGTTTGCAAGGGGCAGCCAATCAGAAAAAAGGTGATGTTAAAGCATGATTCAGATAGCGTATGAAGGTCCAGGATAAACACATAATGCATAGGATAAATAAAGATTATTCTGAATTTTGAATCATGTAAAGTTACTCTAGTATCTACAGTCGTAAAATAATAAAAATATTAAGTTGGAGATTCGTTTGACTATTTCTTATGCAGGGCACATAAAAAGATGAGTTGAGACAAGAAATACTTGTTGAGAAATGAATATGTTACATAAGCCAATCAAATTAAAACACACAAACACACACACAGACACACACAAAAGTGATGAGATCAATAAATTTAAATATGCCAAAACAAGAAGCTTAAATCAAATCTGACTGAAGGTACTGAGGTATGAGATGTGCCGTATCTGTCCCTGATTTTGGATTAAAAGTCTAGTAAATGGTGCAGAAGGTGGCGAGAATCCATTAACTAACCACATCCCTTCAACACAGCTACAATTGCTGCAGCTGCAATGATTTACTGCTTTAATTACAAATACAAAGTATTAGCGTCACAGTTAGAATGCAAAACTCAGATAAGACACCAGTGGGGCTCGATGCACAGCTGAAAGGAAAGAGAGACAACACTGACATTTAGGACAGCACTCACAACCACAAAGGAAGGAAAAACACAAAGCCAAAACACAGCGAGACAAAACAGAAGACTAACCTTCAAAATAAAACGGGGAAGTAACAAAAAGAGCCACACCAGACGTGGTAACAGAGAAAGAGGAGAAGGCACTGACGAGACGAGACAAAGGAGGAACGTAGTGGCAATTACTGAGGGAACTAAAACTGCTATAACTAATAATAAAAACCAAGACATGAATCAAAACATCACATAACCGAAACTCATCAGCGGAATAACCATGAAGTATAAATGGGAATTAAAGACTCCGTAACAAGACGAAGAAATCGAAATCCACGACACTGAGTGCGATTACAAGGGTTTGTGGTTTACACAGATTTTCATCTGTTAGTGAGGTAGGTGGCTCTAACACAGGGGTGGGCAACTCCAGGCCTCGAGGGCTGGTGTCCTGCAGGTTTTAGATCTCACCTTGGGTCAACACACCTGAATCACATGATTAGTTCATTACCAGGCCTCTGGAGAACTTCAGGACATGTTGAGGAGCTAATTTAGCCATTTAAATCAGCTGTGTTGGTTCAAGGACACATCTAAAACCTGCAGGGACGCCGGCCCTCGAGGCCTGGAGTTGCCCACCCCTGGTTTAGTGCGTGATGCCACCAGGGGTGCCACTGGGGATCTGGGGCCCCATGGAAAAAACATATCACTTTGGGCCCCACCACTTTAACAAAGGAAACCACGGCAACATATAACACATTTTTATTTCAGGGAAGATTGACGAGATATATGTCATATTTTACATTTTCATATTTTTTATGATAATTGATAAATTAAATTTTAAATTTTACTTTTCCAGTAATTGGTAGCTTAAACCAAATACATATAAAATATACGTTAATTTTTTTGGATGGAAGTGAATTTCAATTCTCATCTATAAAATTGGGTAAAAGAATTTTTTACTGCTTTAACACTTAAGCAGTAAGTGAAAAATAAAACTTAAATAATCCTTCGATTATGAATTTTCAAACAAAATATAGTGAACTAAAATACGTCTCCGTCCTGAGAAGTGGTGGAACTCAAATAGGTTTTAATTGGTTTCAGCTTCCTGAAAGCTCTCAGCACCTGCAACAGTCATAAGACAGTGTGGAAAATAAACGCACACTTCTCCAAAAACAGTCTATTTAAATAGTGTGTAGAATGCAAATATTATTTCCCAAAGGGGCCTCCTGCAGGTGAAAAAATACCTCACCTGTTTCTTTAGATATCAGGGCCGGTTCAGTGTCAGGGGTATACGGAGATGGGAGTGGGACAGCTAAGCCTGAGCCACAGGTTTGATGTGTGTGTAAAGTACAAAGAGTCTGCCTGCGCCGATTATATGTTAGCTAAAAAAACAAAAACACATGATTTTCTGTTAGAAATGAAATAAGTTCACTAATCCAAGGAAAGTCGAGCAGGTCGAGCAGGTCGAGGAGGAGAGGATGTTGTCTAAGCCAACATCCATCATGGACAACACCTCCCACCCCCTGCGTGAGACTGTACGAGCAGCTCGTTCAGCTGTGGACTTTTACACCCACAGTGTAGGAAGGAGCGCTACCGCAGGTCATTCTTACAGCAGCTGTCAGACTCTATAACAGTTTAACATGGCGTACACATTGCTAGTTTAACTAACATATATGTTTTTTAATTGCTGCTACTCAATTGCAGCTTGTTTGTACACTGTATACTTCACCAGGATCATTCCCATTCCCCCCCATTTGTATACATATCTCTGAACATTTTATACATCTGTATATACGATTTTCGGTTGCTTATCAGTGTTGGTCAAGCTACTTGAAAAAAGTAATCAGTAATTAATTACTGATTACAGTAATTAATTACTGATTACTTCCCCAAAAAAGTAATCCCGTTACTTTACTGATTACTTATTTTCAAAAGTAATTAATTACTTAGTTACTTAGTTACTTA